CTCCCCTCAGGAAGGAGGTTGAGGAGCATTAAGTGTAGAACCACTAGACTGAGGAACAGCTTCTACCCTGAGGCTGTTAGACTCATGAATCTCTAACTAGAATAATCACTGTGAAAAACCATATCATGTTGCTGCTGATCTGTTTCATGTTGCTGCTGATCTGTTTCAATGTTGATGTATTCATACGTGCACATCCGCTCACACAGACTCATGTTCATGTTTGTGCTGATGTTCAATGTTTTATGTTATGAGTGCTTAGTGTATATTTAGTTGATGTTTTTCTTAGTTCATATCTTAGATGTTATTACTGTTTTTCTTATACATTTTATTGTTGGATGTAACTGGGACCTTGTGTACATAATTTCGCTCCCCCACATGTACCACATGAGGTGCGAATGACAATAAAGAATCTCTGACTCTCTCTCTGACTTTCTTTATTGTCATGGTGACCAGTCTCTGTTGATAAGGCCAAGTGAAGCTGTTTGATCAAGACCCTTCTTCAGGAGTCTCGAAGTCTGGTGACTCAACATAGAAGGTGAATTGTACAGAAGGGGGTCCAGAATCATGTAACATGTCAGGGTAGTCCCGGTTGTAAATTTTAACACACAGAGAAAAGGTTAACAAAAAAACTTCCTGTGACAGAGCAGGATGCCAGTATCTGTCCCAGATTATCAAGAAAGGAGGGGGTAGCGGAGACGTAGTGTCTCTGAGTACATTTGCTTTAAGGCTCTGGGAAGGATGGACACTACGTGTTTCATGTTGTTGCTGATCGTTTTCATGTTGCTGCTGGTCTGTTTCATGTTGCTGCTGATCTGTTTCATGTTGCTGCTGGTCTGTTTCATGTTGCTGTGTTCATGCATGCTCATCTGCTCACACAGACTCATGTTTGTGCTGCTGTTCAGTGTATTGTTTTGATACTATTAGTGCTTAACATATTTTTAGTTGATGTTTATCTTAGTTCATTTCTTAGATCTTATTACAGTTTTCTTTGACATTTTATTGTTGGCGGTACACCAACACTGTTTATAGTGGAAGTGGTGTGCTGCTGACCTCAACTCGGGATGTTGTGATTTTTTGGGAAGAATACTTTGAAGACCTCCTCAATCCCACCAGCACATCTTCCACTGAGGAAGTGGAGCCTGGGGACTTGGGGTCAGGTTCTCCAATCTCTGGCGCTGAGGTCACCGAGGTGGTTAAAAAGCCCCTCGGCAGCAGGGCCCTGGGGGTGGATGAGATTCACCCGAGTTCCTTAAGGCTCTGGATGTTGTGGGGTTGTGTTGGCTTACATAACTCTGCAATATTGTGTGGACATAGGGGGAAGCCCCCCTGGATTGGCAGACCAGGTTGGTGGTCCCCCTATTCAAAAAGGAGGACCGTAAAGTGTGTTTCAACTACAGGGGTAATCACACTCTTAAGCCTCCCTGGTAAGGTCTATTCAGGGGTTCTGGAAAGGAGGGTCCGTCGGATAGTTGAACCTCGGATTCAGAAGGAGCAGTGCAGTTTTCATCCTGGGCGTGGAAAGCTGGACCAGCTCTACACTCTCAGCAGGGTCCTGGAGGGTGCGTGGGCATTTGCCCAACTAGTCTATATGTGCTTTGTGGACTTGGAGAAGGTGTTCGACCACGTCCCTTGGGAACCCTGTGGGAGGTACTCCGGGAGTGTGGGGTACCAGGCCCTTTGATGCAGGGTGTTAGGTTCCTGTATGACTGGTGTCAGAGTTTGATCTGCACTGCCAACAGTAAGTCGAGCTCGTTCCCAGTGAGAGTTGGACTCCGCCAAGGTTGCCCTTTGTCACCGATTCTGTTCATAACTTTTATGGACAGAATTTTTAGGCGCAGCCAAGGTATTGAGGGGATCAGTTTTGGTGGCCTTAGGATTGTGTGTGTTTTTTGTAGATGATGTGGTCTTATTGGCTTCATCAGGTCGTGATCTACAGCTTTCGCTGGAGTGGTTCGCAGCAGAGTGTGACGCGGCCGGGATGAGGATCAGTTCCTCCAAATCCGAGGCCATGGTCTTGAGCCGGAAAAGGGTAAATTGCCCTCTCCAGGTTGGGGAGGAGGTCCTGCCCCTCATCTACGGTCATGAGCTTTGGGTTGTGACCAAAAGAACAAGATCATGGATACAGACAGCTGAAATGAGTTTTCACTGCAGGGTGTCTGGACTCTCTCTTAGAGATAGGGTGAGAAGCTCGGTCATCTGGGAGGGACCCAGAGTAGAGCCTCTGCTTCTTCACATCGAGAGGAGCCAGTTGAGGTGGCTCAGGCATCTGGTTAGGATGCCTCCTGAACGCCTCCCTGGTGAGGTGTTCCAGACACGTCCCACCGGAAGGAGACCCAGAGGAAGACCCAGGACACTCTGGAGGGTCTATGCTTCTCGGCGGGCCTGGGAACGCCTTGGGGTTCCCCTGGAGGAGCGGGCCCAAGTGGCTGGGGAGAGGGAAGTCTGGGCCTCTTTACTTAGGCTGCTATCTCCGTGACCCAACCCCAGATAAGCAGAAGAAAATGGATGGATGGATGGATTTTATTGTTGGATGTAACAGGGACCCTTTGTACACAATCTCGTTCCAACACATGTAACACATATGGTGCGAATGACAAATAAAGAAACTCTTGACTCTGACATGACTCAACGAGAGACTAACTTGCATAAATAAAGGTTGAATGAATGAATGATTGACAGCTGCCTGAGCCAATAGAAGCAGTTTCTGTGTTTCACTGGGATTGTGTTGTCACAATTATATTTGTTTATGATTTTTAGAAGTCAACCTCTGAGTTTCATTAATTGAGTGTTGTCAGTTCAAGAGACACAGGATATCCGTAACAGGAAGTTGTTGTGTGTAAGCAGTACGGTGAAAAGTTTATTGTGTCTGAAGTTAATCAAGTCACATCTGCAGACATCACAAATTAGGCAACAAGGTAAGGACTGATTGTTTACAACATGTTTACGATCTCAGATCATTATTTTGGGAAACTGGGTATTTTCTGCTAAGTTTATTGTTCTGTGGCATTATGCCTTAAGTAAACAAGTTAGTGAATAATATTTTATTTGATATAAAACATAATGTATGTTTTTCTCTCTGTCCTCAGGTGAAGCCAGACGTGTCTCCCTGCCCAACCCCCCACCCCCACCCCCACCCCCACCCGCTTCCCTGCTTACACTCTTTCGTCCTGTGAACCCTTAAAAAGCCTCTTTTTCCTGCATACCTCCTAATTCAAAGTTTCAGCTGGTCTCTCAACAAAATTGATCAACTTCTCCTGGCAGGAGTCAAGGTAAGGAGGACCCTCTTACCTCAACGGAAACAAATTGGATTCATGATGACAACTGGTTTTTTGCTGTTTGTTGGTGAATTCTGGATTGTCTATAAATTCGTGTGGATGTGTCGAACCTCGATAGTGCTCAGACTGAATTTGTGGATTTGTGTCAGAGAGATGGAGCAGCTGTTATCAGGATGTGGACACTCTAGCAGCGCACATGAAGGGTAAATAATCTGGGAGAAGCTGTGAGCTCGACTTCTGGTGTAAAGGAAAGGATCAATTCGGCTGTTTTGGAGTTCCATCTGAGGAATATACCAGCGAGACTTTAAAAGGCAGAAACAGCAATTCACGCGTTCTGCCTGACCCAAACTGTGGCCTTGACGCCGGACTTATCTCAACTCCTCCTGGCATGTTTAGAAAACAACAAAGATGCTTTGTCTGTCTCCTCACCCCTCCCTTCCCCCAAGGCCGTGGACATGTGACAGAGCCTCAACCGAGCTGATGATGAAGAACACCTCTTATCTAGACTGTGCTACGACCTTCCCTTAAAAATTCAATGTCTTCACCATCTATTTATGTTGCTTTGCTGTGGTAGTTTTTTTATGACTCAAATCGTGCCCTGTCTAGGACACGGCGTGAGAGATCTTTTTTTAATACCATCTCTTCTCATATTTTTTTTCCCATTTCTCATCTAAGCAAAATATTATTCTGAATAAGAATAAGAGGGCCGCACTTTTTATAGTAGAAGCTTCGTGCACTACGCCCATCTTTCGGACGACTGTACGTACATGTTCTCTTTGTATCTCGGTGCAATAATAATAAAGTTTATTCTGATTCTGAAATAAATGTAGTTTATGTTAATGTAAAACCCAAGTGATTTATTTCACCGGAATAAATGTGTTTACTTGTGTGTAAGTCAAAATTTATTATGCTTTGTTTATTTCAGTTTTAATCTTCCTTACAAAGTCAACAAACCGGTGGACAAGGACTCTTCAGAGTCTTGATATTGGGACGTCTATCAAGCACGTGTGACAAGGACAGCAGAGGGACTGAAAGCGTTCTTTAGCGACTGTAATGATAGGACTGCTGGACTTTGGGTTGCTGGGTGTTGAACACAGTAAATCACAAGAAGGCAGAAGGTGCTGAGCATGCTGGATGTTTAGAGGACTGTCACTGCATCCAAAAAAATAAAGTTTTTCAGACAGATTGTCTACAGTCTGGTTCCCCTCCCTCCTTAATGTAAGCCCAGAGTGAACCAGGTCTCATTTCTGGTACCTGGTGTAAGAACTACAAAACGAAGTTGACGGGCCCTCTCCAGCTCCAGGTTGAAGGTGTGGTTTAAAGGGAGGGTTGGGCCTCTTAGTGTCAGGAGTGCAGTTCTCGCTCTTGTTACCCCATCAATCTGGATGGCCAAAAACACCTCCTTACTATCCTCGGACCTGAGACCATAAACATGTACAAAGACAGGAAGAGACAATGAACCAGAACGATTAACAGTCAGAACCTCAACTAAAACCTCAAAGAAAACCCATAGCAGCTGAAGATGGCAACATTTCTGCTCAGAAATGTTTGTTACTGAAAAGTAGTTGTGGATTTTCAGGAATGATTGGACTGTTGTTCAACTGATGACAACAAGGTATCACTGTGGTCAAACTCCATCTCTAGTGGACTATGTCTATTTCAGGTGTAGGTGATGTGACTGTACCTGGTGATTTTCATCTCCTTCAGACTCAGCAAGTGCACCGTCAGTAAACCTGTCACTTGCTGGCTGCACCGTGGTAGATCTGAGCCCACGTACAGTTGGAAAGAACTCACATCACATGGAGCTTCCTGGGCTACATAATGCCCAAGGCTCTGTTGCCGTGGCAGCAGCTCAGGGGAGTCTCCATCACTTAGGTACCCTGACAGGAAACAGGAAACAGACTGTTTACATTTTGTTCCTGGGTTCATGTCGAAGAATCCAGTTTAAAGCATAAGAAACAGTCGGAAAGTCAGAGTCAGAGAGATTTATTTGTCATGCACACCACATGTAGTACATGTGGTGGAACGAGATTATATATGCAGGGTCCCAGTTACATCCAACAATAAAATGTAAAAAAAAAAACAGTAATAAGATCTAAGACATGACCTAAGAAAAACATAACTAAAAATACACTAAGCACTAATAGCATAAAAACATTACGTTGAACAGCAGCACGAACATGAGTCTGTGTGAGCACATGAGCACGTATGAACACAGCAACATGAAATCACTGAGATATAACTGTTGGAATAATGTCAGAGTCAAGAGAGTCAGAGATTCTTTATTGTCATTCGCAACTCATGTGGTACATGTGGTGGAACGAAATTATGTACACAGGGTCCCAGTTACATCCAACAACAACAATATATAAGAAAAACAGTAATAACATCTATGATATGAACTAAGAAAAACATCAACTAAATATACACTAAGCACTCATAACATAAAAACATTGAACATCAGCACAAACATGAACATGAGTCTGTGTGAGCGGATGTGCACGCACGAACACATCAACAATGAAACAGATCAGCAGCAACATGATGTGGTTTTTCACAGTGATTATTCTAGTTAAAGATTCATGAGTCTAACAGCCTCAGGGTAGAAGCTGTTCCTGTTCTACACTTAATGCTCCTCAACCTCCTTCCTGAGGGGAGTGGGGCAAAAAGTGCATGTTCTGGGTGAGTGAGGTCCTTCATGATGCAGGGAGCCCTCTTCCTGCATCTAGAGGTGTAGATGTCTGTGATGGTGGGGAGGCTGACTCTGACAGTCTTCTGTGCAGCCTTCACCACTCTCTGCAAAGCTTTTCTTTCTGCAGCTGTGCAGCCTCCATGCTACACGTTGATGCTGGAGCACAGGATGCTCTCCACTGCACTTCCCAGACCAGCTCATCTCAGCCGCCTGAGAAAGTAGAGTCTCTGATGAGCTTTCTTGATCAGGCTGGTGGTGTTATTGCTCCAGCTGAGGTTGTCATTCATGTGTACATCCAAGTACTTGCAGTTGGAGACCACTTCCACCACAGATCCTCTTATGTTCAGGGGGGTGTAGATGTTTTTCTTCCTTCTGAAGTCCACAATCATCTCCTTTGTCTTCATCACATTGATGTGAAGGTTATTTTCTTTGCACCAGCTCTCCAGGTGTTCCACCTCTTGCCTGTAGCTGGACTCATCATTGTTCGTGATGCATCCCACCACCGCTGTATCATCTGCAAACTTTACAATGTGACAGCCTGGATGGGTAGCTGCACAATCATACGTGAGCAGAGTAAACAGGAGGGGGCTCAACACACATCCCTGAGGAGAGCCAGTGCTGAGGGTTATGGTGGAGGAGGAGAAGTTGTGGATCCTCAATAACTGTGGTCTGTTTGTTAAGAAGTCTAGTACCCAGTTGCAAATGGAGGGGCTTAGTCCTAGTATGGATAGTTTCTCCATCAGGGTTTGGGGGATCATGGTGTTGAAGGCGGATGTTAAGTCCACAAAGAGCATACGGACGTAAGAGTTTTTCTGCTCCAGGTGGTTGAGCGCAGTGTGGACCACAGAGGAGATGGCATCCTCTGTTGATCGGTTCTCACGGTATGCATACTGATGAGGGTCCTCGTTGATGGTTGTTTTGATGCGAGTCATGACCAGTTTTTCAAAGCATTTAGCGACTATCGGGTGAGGGCCACTGGCCGATAGTCATTCAGACCAGTCACTATAGAGCTTTTTGGGACTGGGATGATGGTGGCAGTCTTTAGGCAGGTGGGAACTTTCTCCAGGTAAGTGAGGTGTTAAAGATGTCTGCCAGCACCTCACAGAGCTGATCAGCACATTCCTTCAACACTTTTCCGGGGATGTTGTCTGGGCCAGTTGCTTTGTGCGGATTAATCCTCCTGAAGGTACTCCTTACTTCTGCTGAGGTCACGCTGAGATGCTCTTCATCCGGTGGTGAGATGAGTCTGGTGCTGGGTGGTCTGTTCGTGTCTTCAAAGCGTGCATAGAACTTGTTGAGGGCATCAGGCAGAGATGGGTCTTTGGGGCATTGTTCGCTCCTTCCTTTATAATCTGTTATGCACTTAGTGCCCCTCCACATGCTCCGAGGGTCTTGTGAGATGAATTGACCCTCGATCCTCTGTGCATATGTGCCCTTGGCCCTCTTAATATCAGCAACCAGCTCTTTTCTTGTCCTACTCAGCTCCTCTGTTTACAGGCCTGAAGGCAGTGTTCCTGGCTTCCAGCAGGGTGTGCACCTCTGCATTCAGCCAAGGTTTTCAGTTTGGGTAGCTTTTAACATTTCTGATAGTGGAGACGGTTTCAGTACATGTACTAATGTAACCCAGAACTGAGGATGTGTATTGGTCTAGATCAAGCGATCCCCCATTTTCAGCAGCCTCTCTGAAAATCTGCCAGTCTGTTCAGTCAAAACAATCTCTCAGTATGTGGCCACTGTCCTGGATCCAACATTTAACTTTCTTTTGTACCGGTCTGGAGCGTCTCAGCGGGGGCATGTAAGCAGGAGCCTGGAAGATTGGGATGTGGTCTGACAGTCCTAGGTGGGGGCAGGGTCGGCTTTGTATGCATCTTTTACGTTTGTGTAAACACGGTCCAGCGTGTGGTCTCCACGTTTTGGAATTGTCACATGTTGATAAAAGCTTGGGAGACAGTCCTTTAGATTCACTTGGTTAAAGTCTCCGGCTACCACGTAAAGAGCTTCGGGGTGTTTGCTCTGCAGCGAGCTGATGATATCATGTAGCTCCTGCAGTGATTCATTAGCATTAGCGTCCGGAGGAATGTAAACGACAGTGAAGAAAGTCACTGTGAACTCGTGGGGTAGATAATGTGGCAGACATTTCACTGTTATTTGCTCCAAAGCTTTTGAGCATGAGCTATTTACAACAGTACAGTTCATGCACCAACTTTTACTCACGTAAATCCATACTCTGCCTCCCCGTGATTTCCTCGTTAGCTCGCTGCAGCGGTTCGCTCGAAAAAAAGTCTGTCATCCAGCTGGAAGACTGTATCCGGCATTTCGCTTGTAATCCATATTTCCGTGAGGCAATGCACCGCACACTTCTTCATCTCTTCTGAGGCGCCCGCTCTCAGACGAAGTAAATCCACCTTGTTGTCCAACGAGTGGACATTTGACAGAAAGAGAGATGTATGGGGAGTTTACCGGCTTTAGCGTTAGCTCGTAGCCTCACCAGAACCCCCACCCGGCATCCTCTCCTCTTAAGCTGGGAGCAGCGCTTCCTCTTCTGCCCGCTGGAACACCTCTGATGCAGCTTCCAGGTAGATGACTTTAAGATCTGCATTCTGCCTAGTGTAGTTTTGAGTTTGTTGCTAATTTCTGCTATATTTCGTGGCAAATTCGCTCCTATTCTCATCAGTTCGGTTCGGCTATAGTTCACACGCATAAATCGTGCGGAGTCAGGCACAGAGTCAACATCAAAACTTCTAAAAACTGGGATGGTACCGGGAGCCTGTGAAGCTGCAACTGCTCTGAGCGTGGCCATCTTGGATCCCCTAATGTAGGGAGTGCAATGGAGTCAAATGTTAAACAACAATACCAATGTGTCTAGAAATGCTCATAGATGACGCACAATAAATCTGGTGCAGATCGGATGATGCATTACTGAGATATAAATGTAAGAATAATGTAGGGGGCGCTGTGGAGGCTATTGGCCACTTATAATGGATTGCTGTGCAAGGGATGGATAATGATCGATCATAGTGATTTTGGTGCACCTCAACTCAAATCTGTGCAATTTAGAGCGAAACGTATTGCAACAACGTCACTTCTTAATTCATCACGCTACCACGCCCACATCCTCCAAATAAAACTGTTTATAACTTAAATTGTCAGACCAACTTGTTATATATGTCTTCTAACACAGGATCATCCTGATTAGGTCAAGGGTGTCAAGTCAAGTCACATTTATTTGTATAGCACATTTAAAACAGTAATTGTTATCAAAGTGCTTACCAAAAAAGATCACAGCATCAAATATTAATAAGATATTATAGCAACATGAATAAAAGCATAAAAACACCTAATATAAATAGAAACAATGAAATACTAAATCAAATCATTCATTCATTCAACCTTTATTTAGACAGGTAAATCTAAATCACCCCGCGTAAAATGTCAGGGAGTAAAAGCAAAATGGATGAACACAATCATCAACAATGAAATACCAAATGAGATCACACTGTTAAATGCCAATGAGTACAGGTGTGTTTTGAGGAGAGATTTAAAAGCAGAGACTAAGGTGGCCTGTCGAATGTTGATGGGCAGATTGTTCCAGAGTTTAGGGCCCATGACTGAAAACGCCCAATATCCTCTGAGCTTCAGCCTGGTTTTTGGTACGGCCAAAAGCAGCTGGTCTGACGATTTCAAGGCCCGAGAAGGAGTATAAGGATGAAGAAGGTTGGAGAGGTATGATGGTGCAAGGTCATTAACACACTTAAATGTCAGCAGAAAAATCTTAAAATCAACTCTGACATGCACAAGAAGCCAGTGAAGGGAGGACAGAACTGGAGTAATGTGCTCAAATCTGCGAGTTCCTGTTAGTAGCCGAGCTGCAGAATTTTGGACAAGCTGGAGACATGAGAGAGAGACCCGACTGACCCCAGCATAAAGCGAGTTACAGTAGTCCAGCCGGGTTGTAATAAATGCATGGACTAATTTTTCAAGGTCGAATCTGGACAGCATGAACTTGAGCTTAGCTATCTGCCTTAGCTGAAAGAAGCTTTTTTGAATAACATAATTTATCTGCTTATTAAATTTAAAGTCCGAGTCTAAAACTATCCCGAGATTGGTAACAGACTGTTTTAGATATGGCTGAAGGGAGTCCAGGTTTGCAGGATCAGTGACAGTGGCAGAGCTAGGGTTAAACACAAG